GTTTTATTTTTCAAAAATACACAAATGGCCCAGCCAGCATGGCTCAGCGGTTGAGCATCGACCTATGAACCAGGAGGTCACAGTTCGATTCCCAGTCGGGCACATGCCCGGGCTGCAGGCTCCAACCCCAGTGTGGGGTGTGCAGGAGGCAACCAATCAATGATTCTCTCTCATCATGATATTTCTGTCTCTCTCTCCCTCTCCTTTCCTCTCTGAAATCAATAAAAATATATTTTTTTAAATACACAGATGCACAGATGATTAATGACTAAGTTTAAGCTGCTCATCAAGGAGATCATTGTGGCAATAATTTTTTACCAATTTGTTTTAGGATTTAAAAAAAAACTCAGCTGCTCCATTTGGTCAAAGGATGAGCAAGATTTAAATTTCTAATTTCCTAACTTACTGCATATTTGGCTAATTAATTCTACCATCTGACAGTGAAGAACCAGAGAAATAACAAGGTTTCCTGTGTAAAATTAAAAGTTTCTAGAATAGTAAAAGTTCCAGCTGTATTTTCATCTCCTACAGCACATACTTTAATAAGCTTATGAAACAAAGATTTTCTCAATAACATCTGGTCTAAACAACCTTAAAAAAGAAATTGTGGGAGCGAGCACCCAAGAATGCCAGTGGTGCTCAGGCTCCCCTCCCACACTGTACCAGGTTTGGTCTACGTGCCAGTAAAAGTTATGTTACGTCAACTTCCAAGATTAGATACCAAGAGACAGAAGTTTATATCTTGATTATCCTCTCTCTCTCTTTCTCACTCTCTTGCTCTCTCTCTCTCTCTCTCGCTCTTTGATCACTTGCTCTGGGGAAAAAGTTAGCTGCCATGTTGTACAGCAAGCATGTCAAACTCAAAGTCTAACATGGGCCAAATAAGCAAGGTTTAAGTTTATGTGGCCGCAAAAAAACAAAAGCTTGAATTTTCATAGAAATGTAGGTATATTTTGATAGAGACATGCTGAATACAAAGGGCTGAAATAAATGAGTCATCGTTAACATAAAATAATAGAACATTTTAATAAAAATTAATATTTTTTCTTGAACATTAACTTACCAGACACTGACTAACTGCACAATAAGAATAACATAAGTAAACCTATTTTTCTTGTTCTCCAAAAGCAAAATATTTCCTGTTGGTACACCAAATAAGTCAGTACAAGACTACAGTGGGGCCTTGACTTACCAGTGTCCCAACTAACAAGTTTTTCCGAGATACAGCTGCTGATTTTTTGCTTTGAGTTGACAGAGTAATTTGAGTTAACGAGCTCCTTAAGGAGCTCTGTCAGGGAAATGAATTAAACTCGTAAGTCAAGGCCCCACTGTAATGACATGGCAATCAGCTGCTAAAATATTCGCTGCTAGTATTAGTGGAGAGAAATGGTGCACCTGCGCATAAGGCACATAAGAGAAATGAATGCAACACAATTATAGTAATCGATCATTAGCAAACATTGTAGTTCATTAATAATTATGTATAATGGAGAGCATTATGTTAAGCGAAATAAATCAGTCAGGGAAAGATAAATATCACATGATCTCACTCATTTGTGGAATATAATGAACAACATAAACTGATGAACAAAAACAGATCCAGAGACAGAAGCATCGATCAGACCGTCAAACCTCAGAGGGAAGGCAAGGGAGGGTGAGGGGAAGGGGGAGAGAGCAACCAAAGGACTTGTATGTATGCATATAAGCCTAACCAATGGACACAGACACTAGGAGGGTGAGGGCATGAGCAGAGAGGGGGGGATGGAGGAAGAGATGTGTGTGGGGGCAATGAGGGGATAAGGACACATATGTAATACCTTAATCAATAAAGAAAATATATAATTTTTTTTAAAAAGAGTTCAATTTCACCAAAAAATAAAAAAATAATTATGTATAACAGGATATTGTAAAAAACTTACAAAATTTTTATTAAAACGTTTCTTACATACCGATATTTTGGCTAGGCTGCAAAAACATTCGTTGTGGGCCGCGAGTGTGACATGCCTGTTGTGGAGAGTCCTGGGGAGAGGCCCAACGGTGAGGAACTGAGGCCTCCGGCAGAGAGCCATGTGAGTGAGCCGCCTTGGAAGCCGATTCTCCAACCGTCAAACCTTCAGATGGCTCCAACCTCTAGAGCAGTGGTTCTCAACCTTGGCTGCACCTTAGAATCACCTGGGAATCTTTTAAAAAGCTTGATTTCTGGGCCTCATCCTCCGGAAATTGTTTCTTTGTTACTAATGTTGTGGCCTCACCTCACAACAAAGAAACAGAATTTCCGGAGGGTGAGGCCCAGAAATCAGGATTTTAAAAAGATTCCCAGGTGATTCTAATGTGCAGCCAAGGTTGGGAACCACTGCTCTAGAGAGACCCTGAGCAGAAGCATCCAACCAAGCCCTCCCAGATTGCAGAACTTCAGAAACTGTGAGATAATAAATGTCTGTTGTTTTAAGCTACAAAGTTTGGGATAATTTATGACACAGTAATAGAAGATTCATTCAAAAGACAAACTTTAAAGCTGCGGTTCTCAACCTGTGGGTCGCAACCCCTTTGGTGGTTGAATGACCCTTTCACAGGGATCGCCTAAGACCATCCTGCATATCAGATATTTACATTACGATTCATAACAGTAGCAACATTACAGTTATGAAGTAGCAACGAAAATAATTTTATGGTTGGGTCACAACATGAGGAACTGTATTTAAAGGGCCAGAAGGTTGAGAACCACTGCTTTAAAGGATCAAACAACTGTATCTCCTTTAACTCATGCCCCATGCTAAGCAGAAGTACATAACTATTTTCATTTGGGTCAGACCTTAGTATTTTCTCTGTCAATTCCTAATCTAGTGGACCTAAAACATGCTATATATAAGTTGCCCACAAAACAATAACAAAAGCAACAATTACAATAATATATTAGTAATTAATAGCACCTTTTGCTGAACTTAGATTTCAATGACTAAAAAAGCAAGAAATCCTTGAAGATTTGTCTACAACAATAATAGAGATCACTCAGGAAACTTATAACCAGTTACTCTTTTTAAAAGTAACAAACTTGGACTTGAGACCTGGCTGGCATTTTGTAGTTGCTGTAGTAACCACATACTTGGTTTTGATACTCAGCTTCCACTCTCACCCAATCAAAGGCTCGTACACCCTCTGGCCTACTGGCCCCTCTACTTTCAAAACACCTGAGAACATACACATATACACCCATACTTGTATTCCTAGGTTCCAAAAGAACTGAAGAGCTAAAGGAGATGGCTCAAGGTCAAATACTATCTCCAAGGCCAGATATTTAGCTGGTATTGGTTAGATCTGTGGGTCTGTGCCAAGCAGAGAGCTGATGCTCAATAAACATCAGCTCCCCTCTTCCTCCTTCCGCACCCCATCCCCCTCCACCTGGCTTCCATTTTCTCTAGTACTCTGGCTTTCTGATTCAAACTTCTCAGCCACATGAATTCACTTTAAAAAAAAAAAAAAAAGACAAATCCAGGTGTCTTGCATAGCTAAGAGCAGGAGCTGTTTATTTAGAACAGTGGTTCTCAACCTTGGCTGCACATTAGAATCACCTGGGCATCTTTTTAAAATCCTGATTTCTGGGCCCCGTCCTCCGGAAATTCTGTTTCTTTGTTACTAATGTTGTGGCCCCACCTCATAACAAAGAAACAGAATTTCCGGAGGATGAGGCCCAGAAATCAGGATTTTTAAAAGATGCCCAGGTGATTCTAATGTGCAGCCAAGGTTGAGAACCACTGGTTTAGAAGTATTTGGAGCCAGTGAAAAGTGGGACTCGTGCACATCTTGAGACAAATACACTGGAAATGTCAGAAGCGTTCACCAAGATCTCTTCCAACACAGTAGTTAGTTGTAAGTTGTTATATTGTCTCCTAATTTAGCTTTCGGAAAAGGTTGCCAATGACGTTCCCAAATTCGATATGCAAAAAGATGTGTAGGGCTGGGTGATGTGGCACAAAGGATGATCTCAACTCTGGTTTAAAATTTCCAGTCTCAAGCCATCTTCAGCGGAGGCAAGAGCCGTGAAGAATTACGGCAAGGATTTAACCCTTTCTCACTTCTTCCACCTTCTACCAAGCCCCGTTTAGATCCCGTTCTTGCTTTCCTATCTTCATGTGTCTGGGTCCCATATTCCCAAAAGATACCTAGTAACTTATATTCCCACTTATTTCCACATGAAATCCCGAGAAAGATTCTACCTCTCAGGCATAGGGGACCCTTGCTGAGGTCTCACATAACAGTACCCACTTTCCAAAGATAAATAACGTGAACAGAAACAGAAGGAAGAGCCCAGTGGTGGTCAGAAGAAAGTAGACGAGCTGACGGGACTAAAACCACACACACGAGATGTAGTACATCGCTGGCCTTACTCCCATCCCTACCTCCATCCCACCCCCACTCCCCAAACTCCTGCAACAGTCCTGACTTCATTGAACCCTGACAAGTAGGACAACTTAATTACCACCTTTTTATAGCAGTGGACTCCGCTGAAAGCCATACTCACGCTCACACCACTCACCAAGTTTCAGAACCAGCACCAAACCTAGGTCTTCACACCCTGCCCTCCAATTCTTCCCAACAGTCAATGCTGCCGCTCACAGCCATCCCGCTTCTGGGCTCTCTGATATTCTAATTCTACTGCTCCAGACCTGCTCTTGACCTGCTGCACGCTTTGACATTCAAGAATCTTGCTGCTCGGCTTAGAACGCGGCTCACTTACGCATCTAAAAGATACCCTACCCTGTCCTCTCTGATAGATCACCCGTGCCCACCGCCCACGCCCAAAACTTAAAGAGAAATGAGGTTAGGAAACCAGGACAGAGTAGCAAGTTCAGCTCCACAGGGGCTGAAATCAAGGCACAGATGACTCAAATCCATCAGTCAAGCCTCTTCCACAGGCAATTCTAAGTCAGTCCGCCAAACACAGCTTCTCCCGAGGGCTCTCCTGATAGCAACATCCCAGCTACAGCGTTTCCCGGACTCACCTGAAATTCGCACAGGAAGGACGCCGCTCCAGCCAGCAGCCTGGGCGGCTACCTCGGCCACCAGCAGTCCCGGACCAGGCAGGCGGATGGACTCACAGACCCACCCGCAGTCCCGGACCAGGCAGGCGGATGGACTCACAGACCCAGCCGCAGTCCCGGACCAGGCAGGCGGATGGACTCACAGACCCACCCGAGCGCAGGAGCGGGTGCTCAGTCCGCGGTGCTCCTTCCTATCGGAGGCCACGTTCCGAGCCAGCCCCCATCAGAAAGAAACTAAAGGGGCAGGGGCAGGGGCAGGGGCGGGCGGGGGCAAAGAAACAGCTTCACGCTCATTTTCAAGGCAGGACCAAAATCAGACCAAGCAACTTCTGGAGCGTGGCCCCTGTTGAGTCCAAGTGGAAGTTCTGAAGACGCTTACAAGTTTTTGCAACACTTTTTAGCTCTTCCCCTGCCCACGGCGGCAACCACGGGACTGAGGAAGTGGACGTCCTCGGGCTGGAGGCCCCGAAGGGCAGGAAGTGGAGGCAGAGGCCATTTGTGGGAAAGAGAAGGAGCGGCGAAAAGCGAGAGGCCGGGGCGCCGCCCCCATCGCCTTTGCTCCGAGCCGGGCTAGGCGGCCCGCAGGCTTCCTCCGCGGATCTGCCCGGGCCACGGCTCCCGCGGCGCCCTCCGCCGGCCTCGAGCGCGACGTGTCCGACCGCTCGCCACAGCCCTGCGCGGGGAGCGCGGGGGCAAGAGGCCACCGAGCGCCGGGCGGCGCACCCCACTTCCTCAGCCCGCGCCCCAGACCGCCCCGCGGGGGTCCCGCCGGGCCGAGCAGTCTCACCTGGGACACGTCCGGCGCCGCCTCGGCCGTGCGCGACCCGCACGCCGCTCTTAAGCCCGCCCCGCCCTCTCCTGGGCCTCCTTCCCGGCCGGACCCCAGCAGTCCCCAGCCGATTTGTCATTGAGCTGCCGGGTCGCTTCCCCACCCCTGAGCGCGCCCCCGGCGTCGCCCCGGCAACCCCGCCTCTCGGGAGCGCGCCCTCCCTTCCGCCCCCACTCCTGGAGACCACGCCCACTGGGCGCCTATTAGCCAATCTGAAGAGGATCTGCCAAGCCTCGGGAGGCAGAGGGCTACGCTTGGCCAATGATGAGCCGCCTCAGGCGGGAGGGGCGGGCTCGGCACGTCGGCCCCGCCCCCTCCATTTCCTCCTCTGGTCGCCGTGCGCGCTGCACGTGACCGATGCTGCAGTGGAGAGTGTGGACCTGGTCTGGGGTGCGGGCGTGGGCGGGCGGAGGGTGCCCCCCCTAGTGGACTGAGGTGAGGGCAAGGCCAAAGTAGTGGAAAGCTAAAGGGAAGGGCAGTCCCGAGGCAGAAAACCAAGGGAAGTTACAATGCGGCGCGCGGGTGTCGGAGGGTCCCCGCGGCTGTGGGGGGGGGGCAAAGCGGGGGAGGGAGGGTCCCCTAAGAAGGGACCTCCGCCAGCCGCCACCACTCGCTTGGTTGATGAGACGTCCCTTTAGCAGTAATGGAGTTGCTTGACCAATTCCTGAAGGTACTTGACCCAGGTCACAAGTTAAGAATCCGAACCCCAGCCCTGGCCTTGGTGCAGGAAGTGCAGTGGGAAAGCTCATGGCCACAGGTTTTTCTCCCACAACCTGCCCCTGTCATCGTCCTGCAAAGCCCGGGAAATTGCAACTTTCTATCCAATAGGGCCTCCCCTCGGGTTGATTTTCGCAACTCCCCGCCCCTTCCTAGAGCTGAACCCTCCCCCCACCGCCTCCACAGGATCTGTGGCCCCGCTGACCCCTGCACAAACCTCAGGGCACAACACATTGTATTGCCGTTAATTGTTTAAATATCCGCCTGCATAATCTCCGGGGAAGGAAACGAGTGCTTGTTCAATTTGATATCCACAGCAGCTGGCACCATGTAATTCTTTCCTTGTTGGTAATTATACATTAGGTTGCAGGTGTATTATATGAGAAGCTTTGTGCCTTGATTAGATTGTTACCTATGAGCGGCTGACAGAGCCAGGCCCTCCACCAACAGCTGTATCAAAAAGCACAGACGTTTGCCCTGGCCGGTTTGGCTCAAGGGTTACAGCCTGTTTGAAATGAATAAAACTAAAAAAAAAAAAAAAAAAGACCGTACCCTTTTATGTAATGATGTTTACTTTGAATTTATATTAGTTCACACAAACACTCCTTCCATGCTTTTGTTCCGGCCCTCCGGTCCAGTTTAAGAACCCACTGTGGCCCTCGAGTCAAAAAGTTTGCCCACCCCTGGACCGTTAGAAAGTCAGCCCCCAGACTGACGGGTGGAGGATTCGATTCCAGTCAAGGTCAGGTATCTCCGTTGCAGGCCCGATCCCCAGCCTGGTCGGGGTACATGCGGGAGGCAGCCAGTCCCTGTGTCTCACATAGATGTTTCCTTCTGTCTCTACTCCTCCCTTCCACTCTCTATAAAACTCAATGGGAAAAAAATATCCTCAGGTGAGGATTGGGAAAAAAAAAAAAAAAGCACATAGGCTTAGCCTTAAGTAACAGGCTCAACCAAAAACATGTAACCAGAAGAAAGCAAGTATTCGGTTTTTACCCTTTTCGTATATATTGAAGACTTCTATGGCATGCTAATGATATGGCAGAAACTCCACCAAGTACTTTAAGGGAGAAGGGTAGGAGCCTTCTCAAAAAGGAAGCTGTCTGGTATTTATAACCTAGAAAAGAAAACAGACCCAAGCAGTCTCCTGAGGAGTAAGGACTAGGTGCACAGGCTTGGACGCGGGAAGCATGGGTCCAAAGGAGGCTCTGCCATATAACTAGCAAGCACTTGATTAGAAGTTCACCTCTTAGCCCTCAGTTTCTCCAGCTGCCCGGTAGGAACAGCACTCCACACCCCAGGCGTGAAGATTTAAATGAGATCACATGTGCCTTTCTGGGAACTGGGTGAGTCCTCAACACATGTGAGCTTGAACTGGGATTGCCACCAGAAACCGATTCACACTCAAGCCTGTTATAACCAACCTCGGGGCCGCGTTCCTTCCAAGGCCCGTCTGGGAGTGTGCAACACTATCATAGTGCGGCCAAGCTCTGTGCAGCCTGGTGGGAAGGACCTGCGTGGTGGTGCCATTTTATCAAATCCACATTCAGACAGGAAAGCCTGCAGTAGCCCGTCCAAGTGAGATAAGTAGTTCAGGGAACAGGAGCAGGGGCATGGGCACTGGGTAGGATTAAACTTCCCAGTTACTGGGTGAGGCTGTGTGACCTACTCTAACCAATGACTTGTGAGTGGACTGGAGAGTTTATTTGCAAATGAAAGACACTCCAGAGATCTCTTCTGTAGAGTATGGCCACTGGGAATGTTTGGGAGTGTGGCTGCTCCATCAGCCTGGGGCCTACCATGAACAGGCACCCATACCCCAACACCAGCCGGGGCGGACATTTAGCATGACTGAGAAACAAACCTTTGTGATTTGAAGGCACTAAGGTTTGGAAGTTGTGTGGAATAGCTACGTAGGGACACAGTGGTGAACTCAGACAGAAGAACAGATAATAAAATAGTAAACAAACAAGCAACTCTATAATTACAAATTATGTCCTTGCAAATTATTTGAGATTGGGTGGTCAAAAAGCTATCTTGGGAGGTGACATTTAAGCTAGGACTTGGAGGATGAAAATGAATCAATCTTGGAAAAAGTTGGGAGTGAGCGGGAGGAGAATGTTCCCAGCGGAGTAGTGAGCATGCAGAAACTCCTAAGGCAGAACACAGCTAGTCTCGAGAATAGACAGGAGGCCTAGCGGGGCTTCGGTTCAGGGGAAAGAGCCACACAGAGGGAGCGGGAGGTGGGAGCCAGATTATGTAGATGGGGGCTTCTAGGTTATGATAAGGAGATTGTAATTTATTGCATGTGTGAAGATACTGACAAGGTTTGAGCCAGGAGGGTGACACACTTGGATTTAGGTCAGGGGTGGGCAACCCCTGGCACGCGTGCCAGACATAGCATGCCAGTAACTTTTGCTGGCACGCGAAACCCTCTCTTATAATCTTCCATTTACAATTTTGGTGAATATTTGAATGACTTAAATGTTAAATTACAAGGAACTGGCAAGACACTTGATGTTATGTTTGGTTACATAAAGGCTTTTGAAAAGAAACTGGAAGTCTTTAAGAGGGATGTGGATGGTGAGAGATTTAGATATTTCCCAAACCTCAAGAGGCACATCAAAGACCTCCCAAAAGATGACAGAACAGACTGAAAAAGCCTTCAAAAGCTGTTTTTAAACATCATCGAGTCAACTATTGAGCAGTTCTTCTCAAGATTTGTGAAATTCAGAGAACTGGAAGAGACAGCAAAATTCATGAGGTTTCCAGACAGCATGAAACTGCAGGAACTAAACTTACAAATGTTTTCATGGATAGACATGGCTGACTTTGAAATGCAGTTGATTGAATTTCAGAGTAGCTCAATTTGGAAGCAGAAATTTATTGACCTTAGAGCTGACTTGGAAAACATTGAAAAAAAAGCGATTAGAGACAGGAGTACCCGAGAGAAGTGTCGAAAACGAACTATTGAGGACTTGGAATGCCATTCCAGAAAACTTTTTCTGTTTAAAAAACTTTGCAACAGCGTTACTCTCCATGTTTTCATCCACATACACTTGTAAATCTTTGTTCTCAGTGATGAATTTTGTTAAGTCTCATAATAGGAGTAGCCTGACGGATGAAAGTAGTAGCTCGTGCATATCCCTGAAGGTCACGAAATATAAACCTGATGTAAAATCTCTGTCATCAGTGATGCAGCAGCAAAAGTCCCACTGATCATATCAAACGGAGTCATGAAGTTTTCTGTCGGACTATCAGTGTACATGTATACATTAAAAAATAAATGTATTTTTCATCATCATATACTGTGTTTTTGTCGCTCAAATGAATTTTATTATTTCTTCAAGGTTCCTCACATACATACACCTTAAGAGATATCAAGTAGGCGTAACATGTTCTCAAAAAATTAGGGTTGGCACGCAGAAGAATTTTGAGTCAGAGATTTTGCTGGTTTGGGCACGCACTCACAAAAAGTTGGCCCACCCCTGAACTAGCTGGACTTAACTTTCTGCCCTCATAGTTTACAGAGCACTACCGCCCAGAAGTGAAGTCAGCCCAGTCTTGTCATTGAGTAGTAAGACT